ATTCCTGCCAGTTTTAATATGTATTTTGTAATCAACAAGTGTGTAACACCGGTCAAAGTTTGACACTTCTCGGGCCATTATCTCCGTAACCGTTCAACTTTGGACATAGGTGTTTTGGGTTATATCGGCATACTTTAAGATAAGGAACACCCTCCCGAAGTTTGGTCCATTCCTCCTGGGACACCCTGTATAGCAGTGTTTCACTGCGACAAGTGTATGCATGTGCTCATAAGTTGTCGCATTATGAATATTAACATGGCAAGACATTCTATACTGGCTTCAATTGTTCTGCTGACCTATTCTAAAAGTAATAATTCTATTACACTCACCGAGACTTGGGATGATGATAAGAACAGAATAAAAACTCCCTGGCTTTTAGTGCGCAAGTGAACTATACCGCCGCTTGTCGGCGAAGTTAGTGCCAGCTTTTGCGGATAGTGTCGCGTGGTCAGCGCAAAGGATTCCCACGGCCGTTGATCTCGGTTTCCTAGACCGGAATCACTATTTGCTTGAAATAGCTCTTCACGAGGGTGAGTGGACCCCGTTCCAGACCCACTACTCCTCAGAAAATCTGGTAACGCCTGGAATCGAACCCGGGACCTCTGGATCTGTGGTCAGGAACTCTGACCACTAGACCACAGAGGCGGCCTGAAGAGAATAACTCAATTTCATTAACTCCGCAGAGCACCGCTGTTCATCATCTCTTCACAAGGACCGGTATTTGTCCCTATCCCAAACCAGCCGTATTTAGTCCACATCCTCTAGTTCTGTTTCTCTAAGATCAATTTCAAATCTGTCTTCCCATCCACGCCTAGATTTCCTTCAGGCTTTCCTTTCAGAACATTGTGTACATTTCATGTTTCGCATGAGTATCAAATGTTCTGCACACTGCATCCCTTTGATTCTGTAATCTTACCAATATTTTATGGCTAGTAAAAATTATGATGCCGAACATTATCTATATTCCTGCAACTTTGTGTTACACTCTCCCTCTCATATCTGCACACTCTCCTCAGCTCCCTGTTCTCTCGCATCCTCAGCACATATTCCTCTCTAAATGTGAAATCAGACTGGCGTAGGCAAATTTTCCATATGCATTTTTTTCTGTCTTATATATCCGAAACTCATTTGAAATATAAGTATTTACAACAGTAGTTGCACCATGTTTATCACACTGAAGAGTCAGAACATTTTGTTCGTTATATCTGAATGAGTAGCCTTTTCATTATATCTAAACGTCTTTGAAGTTAAAGTAACAAGTTCATAATGAGGCTAAGTTTGAGTCTACCAGCCAAGGTGCATCGTACTCGTAGCTTGTGTAGGCAACCTTGCGGAAGGGAAGCCCTGTGTAAGTGTGTCCAAATTCCCCACCGGTGTACGGACGCCGGCGGTATGTTGAAAATAACATGTAGTAAACTCTAATGAACACGTAACTATTACGTCACTCTCTGATGACGGCACACCCTTGTTACCACAGCGAATGTAATGTATTCTGTAGGTCATACAATCATACAAATACTTTTGTACATTGTACAATTTTTAATAAAGTTAATAACGTTTGTTGGCCACGCCATAGCTCAGGCGGTGAGTCGCCGGCTTTGCTCCGCGGTGGCCCGGGTTCGAGCCTGGGACAGGTCATGTGGAATTCATGGTGGAAAAAGTGGTGCTGGGGCAGGTTTCCTCCAAGTATTTCTACTTTTTCCTACCAGTCTTCATTCCACCAATCGCTCCACAATCACCATCTATCACCTGGGGCTGATACAATAGACCAGTAGTGGCCGCAGTACCAAGTGAACTCATAACACCACCACCACGACCACTACCACTACCACTACCACTACCACTAATAATAATGTTTGGCTTGAATTTTCTGAAGAATATATTTTTATCACAACGGTAATATACCCTGAAACCCTGAATACAAAATGTAATAGTAATTTGTTTCATAGTTTTGAAGATGAATACACAAATTTGTAAACGATAAGACCTCAGTTTTATGTGTTCACTTCGCATGAATAGCGTACAAGAATTCATTTTCACGCTTCTCCTATATTTCTTTGTGCTGGACGGTCACATTTTTCATCACACACGGATAGAATATAAATGATAGTTGTCACCTGGCATTGGTGGGCGAGTGGTCAACGCGGTTACGTCTCTCCTGGGAGTCCTTGCATCCATTGATGACTCCACACGGTCCAATTATTGCGGTACACGTCACCCGCCCACCCACCGAGACACTACCACATATTATTGGAGGAAGCGTCTCATTTAACTGATCCCTGTGCAACACAAAACAGTAAAAGCCGCAAATAATTTACGTTTTAGAAGTCAAATTCCACAATTTTTCATACCGACTAATATAACAAGATAATTGGGTTAGGAGGAAACGCTTTGGCTTCGTGCTGAGGAGGTGCCAGGTTGGAATCTCGGGCGGGCAGCCTCAGGTTTTCATAGTTACCACGCTTCCTCCAGGTCAGTGGTGGGATAGTACCTTAGAATAGGCCACAACCAGTTACTTCCACGCCTTATTCAATTCATCATTCAGAGTTCGTATTAAGATTAGACCCTGTAACCTGAGATACTGAGTGCATCGTTAAATAAGTCTGAAATAAACAAAACACGCGCAATTTTGTTATGCCAGTTGCTTTTTAATCGAATATTCAGGTTTACGAGGACTAAAATCGGAAAGTTAACAGGGATGGCACATTACGTGAGGAAGATCTTACATGTTACTTAAGTTTCTCAGAACTGTTATGGCAGCTGACATAAAGAGACTCTAATTGGATCGACGTTCAGTTTCTGTATTCCCCTCTTATTGTTTCTCCGTCTCCGGGTGTGTTCATTTTCTCCACTTATATTTTTCCCATTTATTTTGTTTCAAGTATATGGCAAGCACTGCAGCGTCAATCTGGGCATAGTGGCTGTACTAAAACTCTTCAGAACTGCGAGCAGAAGGGAAACTAAAAGCAGATGCGTTTACTTCTCACATTTTGTTTGCGCATCTTAAATATTTCGTTCACATTGCAGAAGTACCTGCAGTGTTTCCGAACCTGTCTCGATAGCGGACAGCATTCCATAAATCGATGTATAGGTCCTGCGCCTGTAGGTCACGCTTTTCAATGAACTCCCTTTCGAACCAACAAACTGATTACCATTTTAAATTTCACTATGCTGTAAACTCACATGGTTACCACTTTTTGTATAAGTTAAATTAAGGAACCCTCAGAATTTATTTCCCATGGGAGAAAAATTCGCTATTCTATCGTCTTTTATATCATGGTCTCTTTCTGTCATGCAAAAACTCGAAGCCTACTTTCAGCCCGCTATGCAAAGAAATGTGCCCACTTTTACTAGACTGCCTGTCATGAACAGAAAATACGAAAGTTCTG